GGGCGGGGCGGGGCGGGGCGGGGCGGGTGGGGGCGGGTGGGGGTGGGTGGGGGCGGGTGGGGGCGGGTGAAAAAATTTAAAAAACGGCATTTGAAAGAATACAACCAAATAATCAAACAGCATAAACACAAATCAGCAAAATTCACAGAAAACAAGATAAGAACCACCAAGCAACTCAAAAACCAGAACAACCCCCAACAAAATATTTAATCAAAGCATACATCATTAAATAATTCAAACAAGCATACCAACAAAACAGCAACAAATAAAAACCATCAAAGAACCCAAACTCAAACACACACATCAAAAAAAAGCAACATACCAACAAAAAATATCAGAAGAGTATCAAACAAAATAAAATACAAACAGCCAAAGCACGAAAAAATCAAAAGAGCATACCAAGTTCAAACAACGCACTTTGAAAGAGATAACCAAATCAAGAAAAATAGAATATTTCAATCTTTACAAACCATAAGTACAGTATAATTGTAACATATAAGATTTTACATGTTATTATTATATTATGACTATAATTTCAGTACAGGATAATAATTTAATTGATTTGTCTTACTTCTTTCATATATCATTTTAAAAATAATATTAATATCTCTATGTATTTTGAATATTAAACTTTTTACTTTCAATAAATAATTTGATATTTTCTTTAACATCTTCCCCTTTCTCTTGACTATAGCCCAACATCCATAATATATCATAAATCATGTCATATTTTCTTACTGATTTTAAGAAACTGTTTAACATAATCATAAGGTGGTATTTTATTTACAGTTAGAAATATCAAAATCTCATCTTCTACATTTCTATTATTTATTCTTTTTCTTCCCAACAGACACTTGATTAATTCTTGATAATATCTCCAATTTTTACAATTTTTACATATGTCTTCTTCACCATCCATTGAATAATTAATAATATTATTCACTATTTCATTAGGTAAATTCAATTTATACAATTCCATATTTTCCTTTTTGAAGTGACAACAATCATAGCATTTTTGTATTGATATAATTATTGATTTTATCACCGTTCATTCTCCTCTTATTATATTAAGGCACTATTTCTTTAAGTCATTTTTAAGGCATTAATAAAAATTAAGAAACAAACCATAAGTATAGTAAAAATTATAACATATAACATTTTGCATGTTATTATTATATGTCAATTAAGAATTAAGGATTTAAGATAACAGTCAGGCAATATGTCTTCAAATATGTAATCTACATATTTATTAATATCACCAATGTCTATATATTTGATATTGTCTTTTCCTATTATTGAATAAATACATTCCCAAAAGAATAAATACAGCAATAGACATACTCTATATTTAGTGTTGTAGTAATACCATACATGATATTTAGTTATTCTGAATTCATTCAAGACCTCGTTTATTTTATCTTTGCTTAATAAATGCCAATCAATCTCTTCAAACAAATCACGAAATTCTTTAGCAAATGATTTATATGGTTTAATGCTTAGTTCTCCTCCAAACCTTTTAATCAAATCTTTATTATTAAAAAACTCATCTATTTCTTTTTCAGACTTTCTAGCAATTTTATTGTAAAAATATACAGGAAATCGTTTGTGATATCTCATAAAGAATTTCAATTGTAGTTGAAACTTTGTATATCCCTTATCCTTATGTTCTTCTACAAAAAACTTTTCAAGGTCTCTTGTTATACAGCACTGGTCACAATATACATTATACTCACTTATTTTATTATAGCAGGTAATAAGTTATACAATGTTAGATTAATATCATTCTTTTTATTACTGCAACATTCACACTTACTATAATCAAAAAGTGTCATTTTCCTCTGAATACATTAAGGCAGTATTTCTTTAAGTAAATTTTAAGTAGAAAACATAATTATAACATTTAACCAAATAAATGTTATAAATATGTATGCTTATTCTGGGTCATAAATAGGATTTGTATAACAATCTTTCCCAAAAAGAGTAAAACATTTAACTTCATTATTCTTCATTATCTCTTCATCAAACTTATCAAAGGTTATACATGCTCTGTTATTCTTACTACACCACTTTTTATATCTAGCATACATTCCCTGTTTATAGACAACATTACTTTCATTAAATGATATTAAATAATTGTCACAAACAAAGTCAAGAACTAGGAAATACGGTGTTTCTTTTATCGCCTCAAGTTCTGAAAACATAGTTATTTATATATAATAATATGTCTTTAAGTATATTGTAAGAATTCATATATTAAATTAACTTAAAGAAATAAACATACATTAAATTATATAGTATAGTATTATGAAAAATGTTATAGATTATCTACTAAATAATGACAAAGCGGAAATACCAAAAAGAGGAAACAAGGAATTAAAATCAATAATTATAGGCGGTAGAAAATTTAGATACAACAAAGAAAACCTATCTCGAATGTTTTGAACAAGAAATTAAAATCAGTAGCAAACTCCAATGAATATAATAGTCATGCTACAAAAACAATTCGCTCAACATACCTTAAACAAAGAATGAAAAATGCCATGACAAAATACGCTATAAAAAACAAATTCAGAATAACAGACCAACAATCAGCATTCAAAAGTTATGCTAATTCTATAAAACTAGTAAATAAACATTTTCAAGGTGAAAAGGCACTATCAATGATACACTACCAAAAAGATAGACTTTTCACCTTTTTGAAAACTAATAGAGCAATGAAACTGAATATATGGGTAGAAGGTTTATTTTATCATTATTATGATGATGATGGTGTAACAAGACACACAGAGATTCTTTATAATTTACCTGCAACAAGGGCAAACGTATATAATGAAACCGATTTGGATGAAGCAATTGAAAAATCAATCAAAGAGATTTTATTGAACATAGAAAAGTTAGAAGGTTCAGCATCTAATTTAACATTTATAAAGATATTATCAATCACAATACATTATGATAAATATGACCCTACTAGGGCAGGTAGTTATATTGACTTACCAGAATGGATTAAACATAAGAAAGCATGTATCAAATATTCAAAATAGAGATAATAAATGTTTCAAATATTGTATTCAATCAGTAGTATTTAATAAGATTAGTAAAAGTCACCCAGAACATACTTTTCATTACAACAAATTAAACGACAATATCTTAAACTGGGAAGGTGTTAAATTTCCAACTGGTAATAAGGATACTGAAAGGTTTGAAGAAAATAAGAGTAAGTTAGTTTCAATCAATGTTTATGAAATTGATGATACTTTGAATGACGAAAAAATTATAATTGATTACAGAACTAAAACAAGAGATGCTAAACATCAAATAAGCCTTTTGAAAACTGAAACAGAAAATAACCATCACTATGTTGTTATTAAAAATCTAAGTCGTCTAATGAACTGGCAAACAAACAAAAATGACCAACCAACCAACACATTATTGTCATTATTGTTCTCATGCTTTTACTAGAAAGGATTTATTAACAAAACATTATGAAACTGGTTGTATGGCAACACACGGACAACAGTTTAAATTACCAAAAGAAGGTAGTTATATTGAATTTGAAAAATACAATACAAAATTAAAATGTCCGTTTGTTGTTTATGGAGATTTTGAGTGTATAACTGAAAATTCAAATAATGGCATCAAGGGCACGTATCAGGAACACAAACCATGCGGTTATATGTTGAATGTTGTAAATTGTATTGACAATACAAGTCAACCTTTTTTATACCGTGGAGAGGATTGTTTAGACCACTTTGTAAATAAATTAAGAGAAATTAAAAAAGATATTTTTGATAAAATGAATGTTAATAAACCACTGGATATTACAGATGAACAAGAAGCAGAATTTAGAAAAGCTACTGTACGTTCAATATGTAATAAGAATTTTAAACCAGAAGATACAAAAGTTCGTGACCACTGTCATTTTACTGGTGAGTATAGAGGTTGTGCTCACGAAAAATGTAATTTGGATTATTCATTTAGATATTTCAAGATACCAGTATTTTTCATAATTTAAAAAACTATGACTCTCACTTAATCATAGGTAAAGCAAATGAAATAAATAAGGAATTGAACGAAAATAAGAGAATAGATATAATTGCACAAAATAGCGAAAAGTTTATTACATTTTCATTTGGTTCATTACAGTTTAAAAATAGCATGGCTTTTCTTTCGGCATCTTTAGATAAATTAGTTAAATTAAAGAAATATGACATAGTAAGTAAAGATGAGCATGATAAACCTATATATAAAAAAACGGAATGACTGGGAGAATAATTTCCGATTTTCAACAGCAAATCCATATATTAGAAATAAAACCGATTTAGACTTATTAACTGAAAAAGGAGTTTATCCTTACGACTACATGAATTCATTTGATAAATTCAATGAATCGCAATTACCGAATATAGAAGACTTTTACAGTAAATTATATGAAGAAGGTATAACAGATACACAACACACAAGGGCAAACGTAATATGGGATAATTTCAATATCAAAAACCTAGGTGAATACAATGATTTATATTTGATGACGGATGTTTATTTGCTTAG